TTTATTCTTCGACTTTCACAGAGGCTCCTAGCCGCATCAATCTGCTCGGTGCTCTTTCGCTCATACTATGGTCTGTTACATTGATGGTCACCGTCAAGTACGTCTTGATCATCCTCCGCGCCGACAACGATGGAGAGGGTGGTACATTCAGCACATACTCTCTTCTGTCCAAATACGTACGTCGAACAACCTGCGTGAGATCTTCAATCACTAATGTATGCAGGCAAACATCGCGAACAGAGATCCACGCGAAGCCACCCTGATACGTAAGTGTGCATCCTGCCATAAGCCTCACTATACTGACTATCATGTAGGGATGGAGAGACACAATACCGATACTCTGGGCCGATCCACAAGGAACATTCGCTCAACCATCGAAAAGTCCAAGTTCTTTCGCGGTCTACTGCAGGTCATCGGTGTACTAGCCGTATCGATGGTCATGGCTGATGGTGTTCTGACTCCAGCTCAGTCCGTCTTGGGTGCCGTCCAAGGTCTCAATGTCGTGAAGCCTGATATCGAGAAGTCCACCATCATCGGTGTCACATGCGCCATCCTCGTTCTGTTATTTGTCGTGCAGCCGCTTGGTGTCACGAAATTGACGTTTGTCTTCTCGCCCATCGTCATTGTATGGCTAGCCTTGAACGCTGGGTTTGGAATATACAACCTTGCCAAGTATGTATTCTTGTTACTTCCGAAGTACTCTTGACTGATGACTACAGCTATGACTACGCGATCCTAAAAGCTTTCAATCCTTTCTACGCATTCGACTACCTGATACGGAACAAATACGAAGGCTGGCGCAGTCTTGGTGGTATACTCCTGGCCTTTACAGGCGTTGAAGCCTTGTTCGCAGATATCGGTGCCTTCAGTCGCCGTGCCGTACAGATCAGTTGGCTCGGATACGCGTACCCTTGCTTACTGCTTGCCTACAGTGGTCAAGCTGCCTACATCAGCGTGCACCCAGAGGCATACTCCAACCCATTCTACAACTGCGCCCCGCCGGGATGGCTCATCTTTTCGCTCATCGTAGCCATCGCTGCTGCCATCGTCGCGTCTCAAGCCATGATCACTGCGACCTTCCAGCTCCTGACCCAAATCATGAAGCTTTCGTACTTCCCGCAGATCAAGGTCGTTCACACTTCGACAACATATCATGGTCAGCTGTATATTCCCAGCATCAACTGGCTACTGATGATCGGAACTGTACTTGTCGCTGCGATCTACAACAACACAACATCCTTGGGTAACGCCTACGGTGTATGCGTCATGTTCGTCACTTTCTTCGACACATGCATGGTTACCCTCGTTGCTATCTTAGTGTGGCGCATCAAGCCATACTTTGTGCTCCTTCCTTGGCTCACCATCGCTTGTTTGGATGGCGCCTACCTGTCCTCGGCACTCACTAAAGTACCTGACGGCGCCTGGTTCACCATTCTTCTGGCCTGTCTCCTTGGGTCCATCTTCATCCTCTGGCGATTTGGTAAAGAGCAACAATGGGGGGCGGAAGCTAGCGATCGCTTCCCAACGACGCACTTCGTAAAGACACTACCAGACGGCCGCTTAGAGCTGACCGAGCAGTATGGCAGCAAATCTGTCGGAACCATGGAAGGCTTCGGCATCTTCTTCGACAAAGCCGGCGATACAACTCCTATCGTCTTTAGTCAATTCATCCGCAAACTAGTCACCATCCCCGAGGTCATCGTCTTCTTCCACCTCCGGCCGCTAGAAGTACCCTTCGTCGCCCCAGAGAACCGATACAGTGTTTCGCGACTCGCCGTTTCAAACTGCTACCGCCTAGTAGTTCGCCACGGCTACATGGACGAAGTCATTACCCCAGACCTAGCATCTTTGATCTACGAGAAAGTCCGCAACCACATCGTCGCACGGGCCCTGGAACGGGAGGGTGAGATATCTGCCAAGGCTACCGGCGCCCAGCCGGAGAAGGCCATGGTTACCGAGACTGTCGCTGGAAGTGGAATATCGACTCCAGCACGCAGCTCAACGACTTCTGCTCGTCTGGAAGCACTTGAGCGTGCGTACAACCGTGAGGTATTGTACATTATTGGTAAGGAACAGATGAAGGTTAAGGTTGGTACGAACATCGTTCGACGATTCTTCTTGAAGGCTTTCTTGTTCATTCGGGATAATTCGAGAGCGAAGATTGCGAGTTTGGATGTTCCCATGGATAAGGTTATTGAGGTTGGGTTTGTGAAGGATGTGTAATCGGGGTAGTTCGCGAACGCAATCTATTCTTTTGAGTGGGAATGGTCCTAATTGTATTGACGATTTTTCTCGATCTCTCGACACCTTCATCCATTATTACCACGCCCTCCACGGGAAAAATCCTACACATCTGCAGCGCCTCGCTAGTAATGTGTCGGATTATTCCTGTTGATGGCGTGAGTACTGTTATTTCGCAGCCGATGCCCATGCGTTACGATGACGTGCCTTCCTAGTCATTACGCACTGGCCCCGGGGTGCTTGGACCCTTTCTTGACTAGTCACACCTCACTAGTCTACGCGACACCATCTGGAATGATCTCACCCTGACCACTTTCCATCCTCCTGCAAACCTCCAAACCCTCCAAAATGACCCCAATTCGCGATCATGAGCAAGTTACCCGACAGTATCCCTTGGTACGTGTGCGCCGCCAAGGCGGCAGGACCGTTGGACCGCTCGTCACCCCAGGTGCCGGTCGAGGCCTCATCCGCGCTCCTCAGCCTGTGCCTCTTCGCGTCCCGAGCACACACGCCATCCAGATTGCCGCCGTAACGACTTGAGATCAACGTCTGTATCCCCTGAGACAAGCTGCGATACACATGGCTTCACCAGATCGAGATTTAATTGCGCCGCATGTCGTGCCGTTGCGCACATACCCGCCGTGCCAGGCAAATCAGCGCGCCCGATGAATTGCGACTAAGATTTTTTGCATCGTGTCGATGCGTGAACGCTCATTTGGGCATCGTGTAACGCAGTGGTTTGATCTTCGCGCAGTTGGACATGAGATGCACCCCCTTTGTTATTGTCTCGTGGAGTTGTCGTTCATCCTTCAACTCTAGCATTGGCTTCGAACTCTACATCTTCCGCATGGTGCTCAGTCTCTTCGAGTGGGCGTATGTCGTCGCGTACACCACTTTTGCCATCGGCTTGCTGTCCTCGGTCGCCCGTTTTTACTCTCGCGCATTAGTCTTGAGATCATGGGGTTGGGATGATACAGCTTCATGTCTTGTGCTGGTAAACCATGGTCAGCTCTGCTAGGTCTCCACAATTGCTTATTTACTCAGGTCGTCAGTATTGTTCATCAAGTTGTTTTGCAGCTGTTTCTGAACCTGGGCTGTGGCAAGTAAGTTGGAGGGTGATCTTCTGGAATTGTGCAAAGTCTCACCATCGACTTCAACAGATCAGGCAATGTGGATTGCAGTTTTCAATCACTGGAACTTCTTCGGGTGAGCTCTCCCCCAGCTTTCTCGTAAGAGATGGAAGAACTAAGGAAGCAAGCAGATATCATTCATCGAAGAGATCGTGATCTACGGCGCACACTCCGTCATCAAGATGACCTTCCTCTTGTTCTATCTCCGGCTTTCTGTTGGTCAAACGTTCCGCGGCTTCGTATATCTTGGATTCGCGCTTGCGTTCTCGGTCTTCCTCTCCAGCTTGTAAGTTGGTTGGTATCCTCAGTTCATACGGCAGTAGACTGACGACATCTAGGCTCATGACAGTCCTACAATGTATACCGTTTGAGAAGATTCTCAACCCCATGTCGCACCCCGAGGTTACATGCATCGATATGCGTATCATGATGCTCACTCCACCTATTCTTGTGCGTATTGGCTACCTGCACTCAGCCACCACACTTTGCGCGCATACTGACAAATGTTGCCTTTAGAACATCTTCATGGACCTCTACATTGTCTGCCTCCCAATACCCTCCGTTTTGACCCTCCAGATGAATCTGCGCCGCAAAGTCACCGTCGTCTCCGTCCTCGCCTTCGGCATCATCTCCGTCACAGTCGCAATTATCCGCCTACCCATCCTCATATCGGTATCCTCGATGAAGACAGACCTATCAATAGACGTGGGAAAGATGATAATCGTAGCATCATTCGAGGTCCAATGTGCGATCGTTGCGGCGAATTTACCCGCCATGAAAGCACTGTGGGGTAAGGTCAGAGGCAAATACAGCTCTGCGGGCAGTTATGAGCGATCGAACGAAAAGCCATACCATCTGTCATCGATTCGCCGAGGACTACGAAATAAACGTGCTTCTATGGGGACTGTAACGAGGCTAGAGCAAGGACTGACTGGCAATGAGTCGCAAGTGGAGCTTGTGGAAGGATTACACAAACAACCAGGTCCACCGATTTTCGGATTTGGGGCGTCGCAGTCTAACTCTGTAAAGTCTTCCCGGCAGAATTCGATTATTGTGACGACTGAACTGGATGTGCGACATACACCGAGGATGTAGCGGCTAGCATAGATACGCCCGAGGAGCTTGTGGTAGAGTTAGGTGGATACTTAGCCCACTTAGCTCGGCATAGCGATTCACTCTTGCATTGCTCAGTGTTGTAATGTACTAAGCCGTCTATCAAAGCCAAAACTTTGGGATCCCGTCCTCACCCTCGCTAACGGTCCGTAATCTGTGCCATCTCGGACTACATGTCGCTAAAAGCCCGATTGGGTTGAGGCCGCATCCCGCTACTCCAAAAGTATGCAAGTCTCGAATCCTTTCATCCCACTCATGTGCCACGCCGCGTATCTTCCCACTATGCAGATCAAGCTCACGTCGACATTAGTTGTCTCGACTGAATCAACATGTACTGGCTTTCAGTCACTCCCATTGCAGGCATCGGTCTCTTGACTCTGCTTATATGGCGCCGGTACTTCTCCGCAATCAGCGATGTGCCAGGACCATTTGCTGCTTCTTTTACCCGTCTTTGGCATATGCATCGGATCCTGAAAGGTGATCAAAACCTCGAACTCATACGCTTACATGAACAGCATGGTGAGTGTACGAGATATGCAGAAGCGCCGGTTATCGATAGTCTGCTCACAGTCCTTCTAGGTCACTTCGTGCGTATCTCATACGACGAAGTCAGCGTCAGCCATCCAGATGCCATTGCGAAGATCCTCGTAGCTCCTCTACACAAAGTACTACTTCGAAAGACACACCGATCTACGAGACGACTAACATGATTACAAGGCAAACTGGTACAAAATCCACGCCCTACCAGACTATCGCTTCCAATCACCCATGAGCACCACCGACCCCAGAAAGAAGATCGAGAAATCAAAACACATCGCCGCAGCATATACCGTCTCCAACCTCCTCCGCTCCGAAGAGCACATCGATCGCACCTTCGAATCCTTCCTCGCCTGGGTGGACAATTACGCAACCACGAAGAAACCAATGCATCTCAACACCTACATATCCTACCTAACCTTCGACGTAATCGGCGAAATCGTCTTCTCCAAACCCTTCGGCTTCCTCGCCCAGGGCAAAGACATAGGTAACTCCATCTCAAATTCCCTCGCTCTGAACGCGTACATAGCCGTTGCCGGTTATTTCCGCTGGCTTAACATCGCACTGTTGGCCAATCCAATCATGACGTGGCTGTCCATCCTACCAATGGGCCACCTCTTCGATACTGTGACATCAGTGTTGGCGGATCGGGAGAAGAATGAGAATGCGAGGTATGATGCAGTGCAGTTCTGGTTTAAGCAGCATGAGAAGTATCCGGAGAAGTTTACCAAACGCGAGATTGGTACGCAGGCGCTTGCGGCTGTGGGTGCGGGGTCGGATACGGTGGCGGCGGGGATGCAGGCGTTTGTTTATTATATGATGAGGCATGAGAATGCGTGGGAGCGCGCGCATAAGGAAGTGGCGAAGGCGGTAAAGAACGGGTTGTGTGGAGATCGGGTGGTGTCTTATGCTGATGCGCAGCAACTTAGGTAAGAGGATGGTTTCTTTGCATCAGCTTGGAAGATCGTGCAGAACTGACGTTGAGTAGTTTTGTGCAAGCCTGCGTGAAGGAAACGCTTCGCATCTTCGGACCAGTGCCCATGGGCCTTCCGCGTATAGCGCCCAAAGGAGGATTGGTAATTGGAGATCGCATCATACCTGAGGGCACTATTGTGTCAATCAACCGTGAGTCACTACTCCCCAGAGATGGTGTCTGGTGACTAAGCTGACTTTGCATTCTACAAATACAGCATGGGTGATGCACTACTCAAAAGAGATATGGGGTGCCGATGCACATGCTTTCAACCCAGATCGATGGTCGAACGAAGACAGCGCTGCGAAGGAGAAGTACTGGATACCTGTAAGTGACCTTTTCCTCGGATCGGCCGTATATCATTACCTTTGTGTACATGCTTACTAATCTCTGTAGTTTGGCGCAGGTTATGGAGGCTGTCCAGGTCAAAACATCGCTAAGATCGAACTCGCGAAGATCGCAGCGACGTTAGTCAGAGACTACAAGATCAAGCAAGTGGACCCTACGCAAGACTGGCGGTGGAAAGCCTACTTCACGGTTGTACCGCATTCATGGCCAGTATACATCGAGAAGAGGGTATGAAAAACAAGGGTAACATTCCACCTCAATTAGCCACCGTCAATATCCTACCTCTAGAATCCAACGCCCAATTAGTCTCGAAGCCATCCTCATCCACAACCCGTTCCATTGCCCAGAACCTCTCTTCCAAAATGCTTACCCTCCTCTTACTTAGCTCCTCCAACAAATCCAGAAGACGCTTATCCGTCCTACCCAACCAAATCCGCACAGCCTCTCCTTCGACCCTCGCACGACGCGTCACCCACCAAAGCGTGCCATCGCGACACATGCTAAACCACCAGCCCAAAAGAAACACAGCTTTAGGGTCTTTTTGTTCTAGTAAGGCCAGGAATTCGGGCGTGAGAAACGCGGTGAAGTATAGGAAATCCAATACATTGCCATGCGACAAGCGTAGATGCTGGATCCGCGAAAGGATGAGGACAGGGAAGTGGTAGACGTTTTTATCCCTATTAGACTCTTCCGTGACACCAAAGACCAGTCTGACTTTCTCAGGCACGAGACTGGTGTCGTTGCTGACCATCCATTCGGGCGGCGTAGGACATGGGCCTGTCTTCTTCTTTAAGACCCGGTTAAACACACTGTCCTCCCTCGTAGGATCTGCTATACGCCAGAGATGTCGTTTGCCTTCTCCTATCTTCATCCAGGCGAGGTCACCCGGCTCGGAAGGCTTCAGCGGCCAGACTGCGTGGGGGTCGTCCGACTCAAGATACCAGAAGGAAGCAGCGCCGAGGTGGACGCCAGTGGCCCAGATGGCGTCGCGTTGGGATGCAGGTATGGGACCGGAGAGGAGACGCTGGTACTGGGTTGTGGCGTGGGACCAGTGGCGCAGCGATGCGTTTTGGAGAGAGAGAGATCGGGTGGGAGTGTGGGCAAGAGCAGAGTCGTGCATCAGGGTTAGGCCGAGGATCATGTGCATTAGGAAGGGGTGCTACACTACAAGTCAGTTCTGAACAGCTAAAGGAAGAATGGGTTAGACGTTACGTTGAATGTGAGGCGGCATACTATGTCTCTGCATGCTGGGGCCATTCTCTCGCCTATACGAATTCCGTCAGTCAGCCCGCATACTCAAGATTCAATGTTATACCATACCTCCGACAGTCAGAGACGTCCTACTCTGAAATCTCGCAAGGATCTCAAGATGACTTTCCGAAAATTCCCAAGATGACTGTCCAGTACCCATGTTTGGATCCAGCGCCGACGTCCCAGATCGAAGAGAGTCTCCAATCATGGAAGTCACAACGCCGTTGAACGATATCGGGCTCCACGGCGTGCGAGTCGCTCCGCTATTCTCATGGTGCGGCGTAATCGTGGATAGCTGCCCAAAATCAACTGTCCCCACGCCCTCCACATGCACGTCCAACTCTCCCTCCTGACCCTCAAAGTCGCACGCCACGCCATAAGTCACACATTTCGCGCACCGCGGCCTCGTCTCATCGCACTACCCAAAACCATCAGTTCATCCAGCCTAAATCATAGATACACTCAAGTCAACTAACCTTAACCCGTCTCAACTTGCAATTCTGACACCCATTCCTCGATTTCGCATTCCAGCGGCGTTTCCTTACACCCTTTTCCGCTGACAAACCGCTGCGTTTGGGAACGAGAGCAGGCATAGCGTCGATTCAATTTGAGTTCCGTTCTTAATAAAGTGCCTATGAGGTGTGCGGCAAGCCTGCAAACAGTGAGGGTATTGGAGGTGGGTAGATGCAGTCTAACCCATGCTCGTATAAAGAGTCCATGCCGCCGTTATATACCTAAATATGCGTGTAAGACTGTACGAGACGGAAGAAACGCGGGGTTTAGCTGCTTCATCGCCTGTGGCAGCAGGGCGTAAGCGATGAGGTCGTGCTGCATACTGCGTCAACGGAAAGGGTCCACAGGATTCCGCGCTAAGGGGCGGGTCTAACCCGCGTTCGTATACAGCAGTCGCGAGGCGGTCTAATTGGTTGAATGGGTAGCAACGACGGAGGTGTGGTGCGAGCATGATTCAATCGCTAGGATAGGGCAAATGTATTAAGGTATGAAGCGCGTAATATGCGTAAACTCCGAGAGAAGGTCGACGGCCTTTGCGCGAGAAGGAGATAGGTGAGTGGAACGAGTTGGATGACATGGCATAGAGGGTGCACACCAATGTGGTCATGGACAGGTATAAGTACGGAAAACCTGGCAGGTAGGATAGAGGAAGAGGTACAGAAATCCAATTCCAAACCGTATCTTATAATAAGTGCTCAACTATCAAGAAAGGAACAAACCCTCATATCCCAATATGTCCACCACCACCCTGCCCCCAACCATGAAAGCCCTCCTCCAAGAAACAAAAAACGGGCCCCTCGTCCCACGGTCTATCCCAACACCCAACCCGGGCCCAGGCTCTGTCGTAGTAAAAGTCCTCGCAAACCTCCTCCAACACCAAACTCCGGGCATCCTCTCCGGCAAAGCAGGCTTCACCTACCCCACTCCCATGATCCCCGGCGGACGAGCCATAGGCCGAATTGCCGCTACAGGCCCCGACACAACATGTCTATCAGAAGGGCAGCTGGTCCTCCTCGAGCCGTTCATCCGCGCCCGCGACGACGCTGATACGTGGATTTTCTGGGGCGCAATGGAAGGCACGAGTGAGGGGAGTAAGAAGCTTTTTGCGGATAACTGGCGGTATGCTACGTTTGCGGAGTATGTTAAGGCGCCCTTGGAGAACACCTGGGCGCTGGATGAAAAGAGGCTTTGTGGGGAGCTGGGGTATACGATACCGGAGTTGGTGCAGCTGAGTGTTGATGTTGTGGCGTACAGTGGGCTGAAGGGGATTGGGCTGAAGCCCGGGGAGAGACTGCTTGTTACGCCTGCTACGGGGCTTTTCTCAGGTGCTGCTGTGGGCGTGGCGTTTGCGATGGGAGCGACTGTTTTGGTGACGGGAAGGAATGAGCGCGCGCTTCGGCGGCTGGTGGATGCGCATCCGAAGCTTGTTTCAAGTGTCCTGAGAACGAACGACGTCGAGGTCGATGTTAAGAATCTGCAGAAGCATGGCACCGTGGATGCGTTTCTCGAGTTCACGCCCATGGGAGCGGAGGGGAGTACACATGTTCGTGCTGCTTTTGGCGCGCTCAAGCAGTACGGACGAGCGTGTATCATGGGCTTTGGTGGCGGCGCGATGAAGGATGTGGAGATTCCGATGATGGATATCGTGTTTAAGAGTATCACGGTTCATGGTCATGCCATGTACCGGGGTCAAGATGTGAAGGAAATGATCAAGATGGCCGAAGCGGGAGTGTTGAAACTTGGAAAAGAGAGAGGTTTTGATTCGGTGACGGAGTTCAAGATAGACGACTTTGAGAGAGGCTTCGACTGGGTTGGCGAAAACCACGAGCTCGGCCAGATGGCGGTTCTAGTCCCATGATGCAGCCGAAAGTGGAAGGTGCGAAGGACCTTGAGGAAGTTACCTTCAAAAATCAGTGTTAGCATGTCACTGCGTCATATGCAATTGCTGGAACCAGAAGTCCTTGATTCCTAGTCGGATGAGTACCGACTGCCCGCTGTAGAGGAAGCCGGGGCCTGTTGCAGTCTGTTATAGCCCTATGCATCACCAGCTATCCTAAGTAAAGTCCCACTCCAAGAAAATGCAGCAATCTGTCATGGTTCGTGAACGTTTCATGACCTCTTAACGCCGTGTGCCGACTTGAATATACCCTTCAACGATCGTTTTACAGTACGCCAGTCGCAGCTACGGCAGGCGGGTGTAGTCGTCGGGGAAGGAGTGCCGGTCTTTTCCGCTAAAATCGAATCGGTCGTCGAGGTACGCGTGTCGCCGCCGCGGCTCGAAGAGCTTCTAGAGATTACGCTATCGGTCTTGAGGCCCTCAGGAGTTTTGTCTTTACTTCGCTCGCGCGATGTCACCTGTTCCTGAGTCCTCGCGCACCCCTAATCAATACCGTGTTGTTTTTTGAGCTTTTCTAAGTTCTCTTGGCGCTCGGCGAGATCATTCGCGGCCTTGAGCATCTTATCTGGCTGGTGATATAATACTGCTACTGTTAGTGATTGCTGTGTCGGAGAAGCGCCTGCCACGTACCGACGAGATACCGGTTCTGGAAGTTGAAGCCGTTGAGCTTGTCGCAAGCCGACTTTGCGTCCATTACGTCTTCATAGACGACGAAGGCTGTGCCCTTGGTGTTGTTGGCGATGCCCTGGCGAATTTGGCTGTGCTAAAGTCAGTAACCTGTAGTGACGGTGAAGGCCAAGATGCGCCAGCGCATGAGGGAGACGACGTACCGCACTGGGCCGAACTTGCCAAAGAGGTCGAAGAGTTCCTCTGGGGTGACGTTGAAGCTGGCGGAGGATTAGCGCGTGGCAGATATGATACCGCAGGCATCTACTAACCTCAGGTTCTTTACGAAGAGAGCTCTGTAGACATGACATGTTAGCGCAGATGTCGTGTGAGTTGGTCGCATCGGCCTTGCGACTGGCACGCGATGCGGCATGGCGGACGTACCGGTTGACTTCCGGGGCCAATTTTCCTCCTCGACTCATACTTTGGCGACTGTGATGAACGGTAAAGGACGGGCTGCAGGGTTTGTAATGGGAGGCGGGCGGTGGGGAGGTTGTAGTGAGAAGTGAAGTTGGTGAACATGCGGGATCAATCGTGGATGGCGTGCACGTCCGAGCGCCGAGCTGCATCACGTGGCGGACGCATACCAAGAACAGCGACTCATGCAGCACCGAGATGACGATGCACATGCGCCGCAAACGAGAGGCTGTGAAAGCGGAGATTTAGCATGTAGTGATTATGGACATGCACTGAGATATGAATGTCTCACAGCAAGGTGATATGGTGATGGGTGCACTCCTTGCCGTAGGATCGAGCGCTCGAATCGGAGACGCGGACTTGCAGCGAATGAAGCGGCTTGTCTCCTCCCCAGAGCTCCTGCAACGGCCACCCATCTGCACACCACAGACACATGCGCTTCGAGCTCTCTGTGAAGCCGCCGCATCCTCGCCTACCTATCGCGCCCTGA